ATATATATACACACCAGTGATGGAACCTTGGTGGTACAATGGTTAAAGTGCTCAGCTGCTAGTCAAAATTTCAGCTGTTTGAACCCACCAGTGGCTCTGCAGGAGAAAAGACCTGGTGATCTTCTCCCATAAAGATTACAGCCTAGGAAACCTATGGGGCAGTTCTACTCTGTCTTATAAGGTCACTAGGAGTTGAAGTTGACTAAGCAGCACACAACAACAACATATATACCAGTATATATGTGTGTGTGTGTGTGTGTGTGTGTGTGTGTGTGTGTATACCAATTTTTTCTGAGCCATTTGAAAGTCAGTTGAAAATGCCACGATACTTAATCCTTAAACAGGATACTTTATCTTGTTAAGAATACATCATATTTCAGAGCACAGTTCCAAATAACATCACACCAAATACTTTGATAATAACTCCAAAATATCACCCAATAACCAGTTTTCCCAATTAACCCCAAAACATCTTTTACTTCTATTTTTTCCAGATAAAGGATACAACAAATTTCACTCACTGAATTTTGTTATGTCTCTTTAATCTTTTAATCTAGAACCAGTTCCTATCTTTATATATATGTATATATATACAGGCAGCCCCCAGGTTATGAACATCTGACTTACATACAACCCATAGTTGCGAATCCCAATAACGCCTATTATATTAAAAATTGAGGTACATATAGTGGTTCATAATAACAAATTTGACTTAAAGGCAGACTTAGGAACAGAACTTGTTCATAATCTGGGGACTGCCTCTGTGTGTATGTGTATGTGTGTGTGTGTACGTTTGTGTATGTGTATGTATGTGTATACACGTGTGTGTGTGTGATTTTTGTAAAAGTCCGGGATGATTGTCTTGAGGAATGTCCCACATATTCTGGATTTGTCTGATTATTTCCTTACGCGTCATTTAACTTGTCCGTCAATCCTCTGTGTTTCCTATAAACTGGCAGCTAGGTCTTGAGGCCTGATTAGATTCAACTTAAACATTTTTGTTAAGAATACGTCATACCATGGTCTCGGGGAACATCTAGCTCAATTGGCATGACACTACTTATAAAGATAATGCTCTACATTCTACCTTGGTGAGTAGTGTCTGGGGTCT